GTGGGAGAGTAAATTAACAGGAAATTACCGTTTTTGGGTGAACTATCCCCTTAAGAGTGACGGCTCAGAGTATTTCTGCTTTTATTTATTTAGTTACATAACAGAGGAATTTTAATGAGTTCTCCATGACAGCTGTTAACAAGCAGTCCTTTGTTCAGAAAGACCCGATGATATATTTATGGACTACAGTATAGAGTAGGGCTGCATAATACATCATTTCAATGTGATCATTCACAATAGTCACATCGCAAGTATATGCAATGGTGAGTTTGTGTTATGATTTAACATTTGCATGTGTTTTTGATGCCTGTGAGTGTATAATAATTTTGAAAAACATTCAGGTATAAGAAACTGTACCGTTTGTGACCTTAACAGCGATTAATTTTATTGAATTACTTTTATTTGTATAATTCAGTTGCTGTACTTGAAGACTGTGGGAAACTATAAAACACTTTACTTCAATTTGATCTTTCTCTTGATTGTATTTATAGATGGTTATGCATGAAAATACTCACAATACATGCAAATACACAATCGCACTTCAAATAGCAAAGACAACAATGAAAATGTATTGGAGGACCCTAAAACGTTTATAGATTGTTTATTAGATTTTATGGAGATGCACTCCTACTGTAGAATCATCCCAATCGATCTAACATTATCAATTCCTTCCAAATAGATATTGAGTCATATGGTGAAATTATATTTATATTGCAATATACTGTATATCGCAAAATAAAAAAATAAAAAAACATCACAATGTTAAATGTTTCCAATATTATGCAGGCCTAGTATAGAGACTAACACAAGAAGGATTTTTCAATTTGGAGAAGACAGTTCTTATTTACACCAAGCATGATATCTACAGGTATAACAATAAATATATTTGCATCCACACTAATGAATGATGAAAATCTGTTTATTTGTAGTTTAAGCTTTTTATTCTAAAGCCAGCAGATGCCTTTTGATATACGCTGTTAATAATTTCCTATAAAATATACAGTGACTTACTCGCAGCAGTTTGCAAGTAACTTACTGTAAATCGATTAAAGCAAAAAAACAAACAGTTTTTACATTTTCAGCGCCATTTATCTTACTCTAAATGTATTTACAGTATTTTGTACTATAAAATATACAGTAATTTTCACAATGCAACTGTTTTCACAATACAGTAACACAGCGGTTCCCAAACTTTTCAGGCCGCGACCCCCAAAATGTCAATGCCAATGAGTCGCGACCCCCAATATACTCTGAGGTGGTTATAAATACAGAAACCTTGCATGCAATGGAGCACACACACCAATGGACCCAAGTCTATTCTTCTTTTAATTTTTTTAATGTATGAGAGCTGTAAATGGGCCACAAAGTTTAACCAGGTGTTATGAAATCTGCTGCATCTGACACTATTGCTGTGTCTTTAATACGTTGCAATCCAATAGAAGTAGAAACTATAAGCTACTATGGTAACTTTATATGGTATAAACAACTATTTTTTTTTCTTTAGTAGGTTATGGATGAAATATGGTAATTCTTATGGTTTAATAAAAATAATTAGATTTTTGGAAATCACCAGGCGACCCCCCCTTTATTGTCCCGACCCCCACTTTGAGAACCATTGCAGTAACATACTGGGCTCTACTTTGATGATCCATGTGCAAAGTCCAAAGCGCAGGACGCAAACGCATTAAGGGCATGTCTGAATCCACTTTTGCTATTTTAAGGATGGAAATATCTGCTTTGCGGGTTATCCGGGTTGAGCTTATTCTCTTAATGAGTTATAGGTGTGTTTTGAGCATAAACCAATCAGAGTCTCATCTCCCATTCCCTTTAAGAGTCAGTTGTGTCGCGCCATAGCGCATTTGATTTTACATGGTGGACTTTGTAAGTGGAAAAACTGAACACTTCACTAGAGAGAAAACAGTTAAACAGAGCATCTGTGGCGTGAGAATGAGAGATAAGCCTCCTCATTCTTTGCTTTCACTTTCACTTTCATTGATAGAGAAACGTGTTGTGCGCACAGCAATCCATTAGTCTATAAATAATTAGTATCATTTGTTAAGCACAAAGATTTGTTTCAAAACTATTTCTAAAGTCAGTTCTAATTTCCAGCAAACAAATAAGTGAACAATAATAACGAAGTGTGCTCAAAATCCTGAGTTATATCCTAAAACACATGCTGCCCCATATGGTCTGAAACCTGACAGGTGGACAAATCTAAGTTTGTTTTTAATAAAACACATATAAATATGCAGATAATAAATAATACTGCTACTAATATTAACATTATACAAAAGAAAATTGTTCTGAATAAACTGAAAAAGCCTCCGAGATGAAGAAGGCATGAAAGTATGGTTTTTATATTTATGCAGGCTAGAAAATAAATATTTTTGTAATATTTTAATTCTTTTTCATTTCTAAAGATATTTGCATATTGCTGTACATCCTGTGTGTATTAGGCAGAGTGTAAGCAAGGCGCACAACTAACGTGCTCTGCGCTGGACTTTAGACCAGCTTTGATCTGATCTATTGAACAGTCTATTATAGTTTCTCAAAATAGCAACGTGCCAGCATTGCGCCTCAACACGCCTCCTTTTTTAGACCAGAACGCCTATGGGCGCACATATGAGCGCAAATGCATTTGCTATTTAAACAGTGTGGTGCAAAACGTTAAAACAACTCTTGCGCCAAGCTGAAACTAACAAACAACAATTGTGTTGCGCCTTGCGCCAGGTGTATGACAGGGTCCACTGTGTCCTTTCTACAGTAAAATTCAGTTCATATTCCAGTTAAATACAAAAATCGTTAACAGTGTATGTCTTCGAGGACCACAATGGAAGTAAGACAAATGGCGTTTTGTTTCGTTTTTTATATATGTATGAGTCTTATTGGACTTATTTGTATATTGTTTAAACATTTTGTCAACTAAAACAAACATTTACACAACCAGACAAAGGTCTTGTTGCTTATCCAAGTTTTAGGAACAACAAATAATAACTTGACTTCTAGTTGATCATTTGGTATCAGAAGTGGCTTATATGAAAGGCAAAGGCCTCTAGATTACACTTAATTTACCAAAATAAAATATGATCATGTCTTGATTTTTAATGATTTAATTAGGACAGTAAGGTCTGACTTTGCTTAGACAAAAGTCTCGTCAATTAACAGAAATAATGTCCAGTATATAATATAAAGTCCTGCTGCAGTGGAGACAGAATGAATATTGTGTCAGACTCCATCATGAGCTTGGAGGACTGCATCCATACATCTCTGCAATGACTCAAATCAGTGATTAATAAAGTCGACAAAGAAAGCGTTCAGCAGGACTCCCAGAGTTCATCAAGACTCTTTAGAATCATGTTCAATGCCTCCTTCTTCATCTTACCCCAGACATGCTCAATAATATTCATGTCTGGTGACTGGGCCGGCCAATCCTGTAGCACCTTGACCTTCTTTACTTTAAGGAACTTTGATGTGGAGGCTGAAGTATGAGCGCTATCCTGCTGGAGAATTTGCCCTCTCCAGCTTCTCATTGTTTTTAAGATGATATGGAATATATAAAAGCATTCGTGTAGCTCTTTTCACGCAAAAGGACTATTTTGGTGTTTGTATGTGCATGTAAAAGTGTGATGTAATACCTGGGCAGTAACAGCGTAGCACCCCGGGCTGGATGAGGGAGGCTGGAACTGTTATCTGGTCAAACAGGCAGGTATATTCACTGCTGGCCTCCTGCCATGGACCAGTGATCAGCACCTTCACTCCACCCTGAGACACACATGACAGTGTTACTAAGAAAATAATAGCATAGCTTCCTTTTATTTAACCTGTGGTAGATTGCAAAGTCAATATAACCCCTGAATCTGCTTGTTTATACCAAATTAAGGTATATGTAAACTGGCAGATTTTACAATATTATATGTTAATATTAAGGTGGCACGGTGGCTCAATGGTTAGCACTGGTCGCCTCACAGTTAGAGGGTCGCTAGTTCGAGTCCCGGCTGGATCATTTGGCATTTCAGTGTGGAGTTTGCATGTTCTCCCCGTGTTGGCGTGGGTTACCTCCGGGTGCTCCGGCTTTCCCCTACAGTCCAAACACATGCGCTATAGGTGAATTGGATGAACTAAATTGGCTGTGGTGTATGTGTGTGCGAATTTGAGAGTGTATGGGTGTTTGCGAATAGTTTTCAGAATAGTTGTCGACCCCTAATAAATAAATAAGGGACTAAGGCGAAGGAAAATTAATGAATAAATGTTAGTGATCTAGAAAAATGCCTGAGTTTAAAGGCTATCCAAAATGTGACACTCAGTACAACATTAAACCTTTTGGTAACACTTCACGTGATCAACAAACCAATTATTAACGCTACTAGCTTAATAAACCACTAATTAGCTGTTTATTTATAGGTCATAAGATGGAAGTTGGGTTTAGGTTTTGGATAGGATTAGCGATGCAGAATAAGATCATACTTTATAACTAATGAGCAGTTCATGTCTTAATAATAGGCAGGTAATAAGCCAGTAGTTAATAGCATGAACTGTGATTTAAACTAAAGTGTTCTCAGACTTTTTTTTTCAGCTAAAACTGTGGTTCTCGATGATTTATAAGATGCAACTTCGAAAGTAGAAAAAAACAAAACAAAACAAAAAAAACATAACACTATTTACATTATTATTAGGGACCGAGCACCTACAGTGCAAGGCCCTATTGGAATTGCTCCGTTTCTTCTTCTTCTTCTTCTTCTTCTTCTTCTTCTTTTTCTTCTTCTTCTCCGGAATGAATCGCAATTTTGAGGGGCTAAACATGCGCGAAAACTCAAGAAACTTTACACACGCCCCAGAAGTGGCGAAAATTTACATTTGTTATGGGTTTCAGAAGTGGGCGTGGCAAAATGACTCGACAGCGCCACCTATGCACATTTGACGGACTGGCCCCTGAGCTACGAATCACGCACACATACGAAAATTGGCGCACACCTCAAACACGCCAAAACCTACAAAAAAGTCTCTTGGAGCGGAATCTCAAACCCAACAGGAAGTCGGATATTTTTAACTTCCAGCAGCAAAAAAGTGGCGTTTTTGCCATGTCCAGGCGTTGTATTTTAACGAACTCCTCCTGGGGATTTTATCGGATCAACACCAAACTTGGGTTTTGTCATCTAAAGGCCTTGACGGTGTTAAATTGCGAAGATTTTTTGGCGAAGGGCGTGTTCGTGGCCGCTTTGCAAACTTTAACAATTTGCCACGAAACAGGAAGTTCTTATAACTCAGCCAAACAATGTCCGATCTGTCTAAAAACTCACATAGTTGATAAGATTCCTCTTCTGAAGGCATCTACATGCCAATCTTGAGTCACAGTTATAGCGCCACCTGCTGACAGGAGGAAGTTTGCCATAAATCTGTGATTTTCTCAGGTTATTTATATATATCGGCTTAAATTAATGTTGTTCGCTGTTCTCTGTTATCCTAAGGCCACCGGCCTGGGTGCGAGGTCCCTATCACCGCTGCTTGCAGCTTTAATTATTATTTAAAATCCACAGCCTCAGCAAATGCTATAAATAATGTTGGAGGAGTAAATTAACTGATTTTTTTTGGTGTCATATTTTACAGTATTATTTTTTCAGTCTCTCCAGCACTTTGCACGTCAAGTGTTCCTTAAGATACAAAAAAAAAAACATCTTACAAGATTTTTGTGCATTTTCACAGGAAGACACAAGAACTGAAGTACATCATTTCATAAGTTTTGAGAAAAGCCGTCACAAAAATCAGTAATTTTATATCCCAAATAATAAAAAAACAAATTTCCTTGCAAAATCTGTTATCTGCATTTGCATTTACTCTTACTGTCAGTAAACTCAAAGAAACACTGACTTTTTAAAACACAAGGAAAATGTCACCGAAAAACTAAGCAGGGTTTGTGAGAGCTGAATAGTTGTTGTGGTGAGGTCTGTTACCCCTCTGTCTATATTTGTCCGACTGCTTCCTTGCCAATGGGCATGTTAATGACAGGCTGAGCATGTGTCTCATGTGGCCAAGGGGCTTCTGGGACAAATAAATACGTCACTTCTTGTAGAGAAGACCTTGAGCTTTACATTCAGTCCTCACAAGACTAACATTTATTTCTGCATTGTGGCTTGTGGCTGATTTCCACATGAACTGAGTGCATTCACAATTACATACAGAACCATGCTTCACAAGCTCCTCATACCTTATTTCAGTGCAAACGCGAACTGGCTGTTTGTGTATTGGCTATTTAAAGGAAGCACTAATCATAAACACGTATGTATTATTAGTAGTGATATTAACCAGTAATAAGAGAGCGTTAATAATTAATGATGGTTATTACTTAAAAGTCTGAAAATGATGTCTCTGATTCTATTCACAAAATGTAAAAATGTGATCCTGGAGCACAAAATAAGTGTCCATTTTTGGAAATTGAGATGTATAAACCTGCTGAAAGCTGAATAAATAAGCTATCTACTGATGTATGGTTTGTTAGCTTAGGACCATAGATATATACACTAGATATAGGGACCCTGAGCATGCATCAATAGCGCCGCCACATTGGTACAGTGCTCCCAGGACAAATGTCAATCAACCGCACTAGTCAAGACAGTGTTATTATGTGAAGATGCTGGACTTTAGCGCTGTCTACGGGTGTAGTAACGAGCAAACAAAGAAAACAAAGCACAAAGGCAGAACATTTCATAGGTAATATTAGGTTTTTGTATGTTCTGAACTTTTGTGCTAAACAGGTAACGTTATTGATGATAATACAGTCCTTTACTGCATTCACCATAAGGCAAAGCAGCTCCAACTTGCACTAAACACTCGGCTTATTCTAGTTTTGTTTAATAAAATCAGCAAACAATGCAAAAGAAATATGACAACGAGATGCTGCGCTGCCAGAAACTTGTATTATTGTCGGCTAGTAAAAGAGTCGTTCGGGGGGATTCATTCACAAACGAATCGCTCCCTCCGTCAGTATGAGAAGTGAAAGGAGGAGAGGAGGTGTGTTTCAGGACACGGATTAGATTAAATTTAACAGGGAGGGTGAATAGTACATTTCTGTACACACAAACACAAGCTTTTTGTCAGGAATGCCCGTGCGGTCACTGATCCATCAATGTAGAAAAGTGATGTAAAATTATAATTTTCGTAATTAGAAAAAAAAAAATTACATACTAACATCCAGGAAAACTCCCGATCATAGATATATGTGTATATGTGTATATCTCTGGCTTTGGATGGCCACAATCCTCCACTGTACCTTGGTCCCGCATTCATTTCAAAGGAGCGCTTCCCTGTAGCAAGATGGCGGCGCTATTGATGCATTCCGTCCAATAGACAACAATAGGCCAGGCGACATCTAATGTTTATATCTATGGCTTAGGACAATATTTAGCCGAGATTCAATTACACTGCAAAAAGAAATATTTTCCTACTCAGAGATTTAATCTTTACTTAATCTTAACATTTCGAGACAATTTTGAGAAAATTTTCTTTAAACTTGTCTAAATAAAGTGCATAGCAATGCGCATTATTGATCAAAAATTAATTTTAAATACATTTACAAAAAGTCTCAATGGAGCATGATCTTTAACTAATATCCTAATAGTTTTTGAGTTTCTGTCATCCAGAGATAAATATCCAGTGATTCTTTCCTCCCCTACACATTTGCTTGCACCTCTGCTGCCCTCTAGTGGTTATTCCACCACACATCGCATGTATTATTCTGTTTTCAAACTCTTCAGCATTGTCAATCACAAACTCACCTCAGGATAAGACCACTCTGGAGAATAGTCCGTCACCACAAATAGCCTCCCGGTGGCCTGTAACATTCCCATGTTCCCATGAGCCACAGCAGCCGACACTGCCTCAGCAACCTGCATGTATGCCAGCTGTCCCGCCTCGGCCGCCACCGCTCCGGACTGTGAGGACTGCGGGCTGCAGCAGGGCTGTAGGCAAAGCTCTGCCGAATTATACCCTCTCGCCCCATGAGCTCCTTCATCTCCACCCTGCTGAGCTGCAGTACCAGAGGAGACCTGCCCCTCTGTTCCCGAATGGGTGATCAGCTGATGGCTGTAGAGAGCATTGCTACCTGGGACTACCCCTGTACCACTTCCCCCCTCCACTGAAATGAAGTCATTGATGAGGTCTGAGAACTGATTCCCGAATGAAACATCAAAATGGTCTAAGTTGATCTCCATAGAGCCTCCTCCGTTGGTGCCAGTGCTGGTCAGGGTTTGATGTGCGCCTACGGCGCTAAAAAGTCCAGGTACCAACCCGGCTCCCTGCAGGAGCTGTTGATGGGAACTATTAGAGGTGTTATTATCGGTGTCATTGCACAGGTTTCCAGTTTCCCTTGCGCTCGTTCCTCCAGATCCTACTCCCCCAGTCTCCGTCGGCTGCTGGAGGTAGTGCTCAGCGCCTCCTACACCCTCAGCTTCACCAGTCTGCAAGTGATCGCCTTGCTTCATCCTACCATCCGAATCTTTCTCCTGAATGCCTCCTCCTTCTTGTTCTGCTCCCGTCGACTGCTCCAAACCGCTCATCTCCTCATGCTCCTGACCTGTACTCGCAAAGCGGTTTTGGTACTGCAGAATCTGAAGTGAACCTGCCTGTCCGTTGTTGCGTTCAGTTGGAGATCCACCGTTGCAGTTGGAGGCAGTGTGCTGGTTTGTGAGGGTATGGTGATGGTGGTGGAAATCCCCGTTGGTTCCCGACGAGTCCGTTTTGACTACTGACAATCCCATGTAGGCATTGGAGTCGTGAGAGTTCTGGGTGGAGACGGAGTTGTTCTGGTGGTTCTGGGATTGAGGAGAACCTTGCAGGAAGAAGCTGGGGGAGTGACTCTGGTGGGCCAGATGGGTTTGGCTGTAGCTCGCTGCTGCTATAACACTAGCTGGATAGTCTTGCTTGGCGTCAATTGCACTGAAATCCATCTGCTCCAGTGTGGTGCTGGGACTGAGTCCACCTCCAGACGGCAGCAGAGATCCGGTGGGAGTCAAAGCTAGCGAGTTTTGACCGGAATTGGTGCTTGAGGAAGCGGAGATTGCACCGATTGCATCTCCAACCTGATAGCCGCTCTCTTTAGCCAGCTGCTGTTCGAATGACGTGTCCTCCGTCTTGATGTTTTTGACCAGGGCTGCGTTGAAGCTGTAACCGTTATCTCCGAGTGGTGGAGAACACCGCATCCCGTTACTGCAGCTGCTCCCGTTGCTCTCCTCCGTCTTCATCCCGTTTCCTCCGTAGGTTTGACCTTGTTTGGGGTTATTGAGAAAGCAGTCGGGGTCAAAGTTCATATTGGTTTCGGGTAACTTAATACTTCCTGTTTCCAGGTTACTAGACAGCACCAGTTCTTCGGACACACCGGCTGTTGTCAACATACCCAGTCCATCAGCGGACGCTGGATCCGCTAACCCTACCGCATTAGCAAAGGCAAACTTGTGGCTTTCGGCTGTCACTGCTAACACCAGGCTGCTGGAGGCTGGGTCGGGACCCAATAGGTGAGCGTTGGGGTCTACAGTGGGCGACATGCTATAGACAGGATCTCCAGAGACCTCGGACATGAATACAGTTGCGGATTGAGATAGACTACTCATTACTGAAGCTACATGGCCCATTCCGGTCACCACAGGACTGTCTGCCATATCCGGGTCAGAGTTTAAACCGCTGCTGATGGAGACGGGTGAGCTCTGGGTGGTGTCCGGCACTTCCACCTGATTGGTCGAGGACACCTCCATGCTGTTCTGGTGGAGTAGGGCTGGTTTGTGCACTTTGCCGTTTCTTTTCTCTCTGCCTCCTGCTCCAGCGGCTCCATCTCCTCCTGCTCGGCCGTTCTTTCCGCCGCTGTGGCTGTGCTCCGTCTTTCCTTCTGACACATCGTTGTTTTGGACTTCGGAGTGGGTGCTGCTGTAGGCGCCTCCGGCACGTGGGTCCACTTTTGGGGAGATGATACGGTGTTTGGCACTGTTGCATTTGTGATGCAGGCTGCTTCCAGCACCTACAGAGGACAGACAGATGCTTTAATGTTTTAATACTAATGCTATCAAAACAGATTGACACTTAAAATAAATAATGCATGTGTTTGTTAAATTTTTAATGCACATGAGAAGATTTTTTATACATTTTCTCTGTTTATCAGTTTCAAACGCTCATGTTTATTGTACATGGAGTTGCTTATAATAAAAGATAAACAAACAAACATAATAAATAGAAATAAATGTTTCAATACTACAATAGCATGCTGTCATATATGCATAAATAAATCACATAAAATAGAAACCAGCATATATAAATGACAGGAAAAATAGTACAGATAAGAACAAGTGATACAAAATAAAGTAAATAAGAACTAGAATTAAATATCAAGTATAATATCTCTTTTAAAGTAGACCTGACAGAATCTCATTTTCTCTTGATTTATAATTTATAGCTTGTTTTTAACCCTGATTTTCAAATCATAACAAATAACAAATCAACAGCTCAAAATTACAATATTTAAAATAAGAAATCTTGTCTTTTTTTAATGTTTGATGACATAAATATTATTAAATCATGACAGTCATGGCAATGTGGTGGTGCAGTGGGTAGTACAATCGCCTCACAGCAAGAAGGTCTCTGGTTCGAGCCCCGGGCCGGCTCAGTTGGCATTTCTGCTATAGGTGAAATGGGTAGGCTAAAATTGACCGTAGTGTTTGTGTGTGAATGAGTGTGTATGGATGTTTTCCAGTGATGGATTGCAGCTGGGATGGCATCCGCTGCAAAAAACAAATGCTGGATAAGTTGGCAGTTCATTTCACTGTGGCGACCCCGATTAATAAAGGGAGTAAGCCAGAAAGAAAATGAATGAATGAATGAATCACAGTTATTTGTGACGCTCAAGTTCATTTTAATCTAAATACTGCCATCCAGTGGCCATAGTATATACTGCACCTGGAATTATGAACTGACTCTCAGTATGGCTTTAGGAAATCTAGCATGCCAAGAGTGCAAATAAAAAAAACAGATGTATATGCTGAAATGTATACGGTAAGAAAACTGTAAAACCCAAAAAGTTAAGGTAACTCAAACCATTTGAGGAAACCGATTGCAACACCATTTCAGTTCAAAAACTAATCCTATTGCGTGCTGTGAACTTAATCCATTTGAGTAAACCAAGCAATTTGAGCACAGTAAAACCCAATAAATGAAGAAAACTCAAACCCACTGAGTACTGTAAAACCCAATAAATTAAGGCAACTCAAACCGTTTGAGGAAACCAATTGCTACACACCACTTGAGTTAAAAACTAATCTATATGAGTACTGTGAACTTGCTCCATTTAAGTTGAAGTAATGCGGTATTTAATTAACTCATCACCTTCAACGCTTAGTTCAAAACTTCCAATGAGTAGAATTTACTTTCAGTCAATTTTGAGGTAACTACACTCATTTCATTTGATAAAGTTGACTGCTGGGTTTTACAGTGTATTAAACATTAAAATCACTTGCTTTCTAAAATTACAAGCTGTCTAAAAAGCAGTTTTCACTTAAACGTAATGGATTTAATAAAATAAGTGCAAATTTGCATACATTTTAAGCACACAAATCTGAACATCAAATAAAGTCAAGTTCAAGCATCTTGTTACTTTAGGATATGTCAGAGTCAGAGGTTATATATATAACCATAATGGAGTAAATGTTTATCATTGACATGTTTTAAGGCCTGTGACTGTATATGCTTATCAAGACAGTTTAAAGCATTCAGACACAAGGAATTGTACCATTTGAAACTTTAATAAAAAATATATATTTAATTAAATTATTTATACAATGAAGATGCTATGTAGTGTTTTTTTACATTTCAATATTCAGTTTCTGTACCTGAATTCTTGCCAAATAGAGCTATTTAAGTCATCTGGTGAAATTGTTTTCATATCGCAATATATCGGAAAAAAACAAAGCATCGCAATGTCAGATTTTTCCATATCATGCAGCCTAATATATATACAGCTGAAGTAAGAATTAATAACCCCCTGAATTATAAGCCCTCCTGTTTATTTTTGTCCCCAATTTCTGTGTAACGGAGAGAAGATTTTTCAACACATTTCTAAACATAATAGTTTTAATAACTGATCTCTAATAACTAATTTATTTTATCTTTGCCATGATGACAGTACATAATATTTACTAGATATTCTTTAAGACACTTCTATACAGCTTAAAGTGACATTTAAAGACTTAACCAGGTTAATTAGGTTAACTAGGCAGGTTAGGGTAATTAGGCGAGTTATTGTATAACGATGATTTGTTCTGTAGACTATCGAAAATAAAATATAGCCTAATGGGGCGGATAATATTGACCTTAAAATGGTTTAAAAAAATTAAAAAGTGCTTTCAAACACATCTATAAATACAAAAATCAAGAAAAATCAAGTGTAATTTGAATCTTTTCCTCTTATTAGACTCAAAAACTGCTGCTAAAAAGGTTAAAAAACATAAATATATATATATATATATATATATATATATATATATATATATATATATATATATATATATATATATATATATATATATATATATATATATATATATATATATATATATATATATATATATATATATATATATATATATATATATATATATATATATATATATATATATATATATATATATATATATATATATATATATATATATATATATATATATATATATATATATATATATATATATATATATATATATATATATATATATATATATATATATATATATATCCTAATGTTTTCTTTAGATTTTCATTACATCTCTCCAACAAAAGAATGTTTGTTTTAATTTATTAAATGTTTAACATCAATTGCATTCATAGATTGCATAACAATTTTATTTACAGTGCATTTAGCACATCTTTTCCATATAACAATGTTTTTGTTAAAAAAAGGAATTAACTGATATTCAATATTAAAATATTTGCACTAAAGACCACATTTAATATTTATTCAGTTACATGATGCAAAATTCAAAATAAAATGTGTTAAATCCTTACAAATTTGCCAGATTTTTATTGTTTCTTCAAGGAAAAAGTCGTAATTTTTTATCATTTTTAAGGCCAATATTATTAGCCAATATTAAATGTAAATATTATTATTATTAAAATGTAACTAAATATATTTTTTAAATGACATCAGATTGTAACGTTTAACTTTTTCCTAACACTGATAAGTCTAGTGCCCTCCTATAGGATTAAAATGCCCCATCAGTTATGACATCCTGGCGCCGGGCCTGTGCTGTCATCATGTTATATAAATAATTTAGTCATTGAAATTAGATATTAAAACTATTATGATGGGAAAAAAAACGTGTAAAAGGCACTTTTGGAAATATTTGATAAAGAATTTAAATTTCACAGCAGCGAAAATTATTTAGTTTTCAAATATTCTTGATGAGCTTCAATAAATCATTACTTTTTCTAGATTTCAGATTATAATTAGCTAAAATATATAATAGATTATATAGTAGATGGATTATATTATAGCTTTTGGTTTGTTTTTTACATGGTATTTATGTATTGTTTGTTATAAAAGAGGTGACATGGTGGCTTAGTGGTAAATTGGCTGTAGTGTATGAGTGCATGTGTGAATGAGAGTGTATGGGTATTTCCCAGTATACTGGTTGCGACTGGAAGTGCATCCTCTTCGTAAGACATCGGTTCGTAAGTCGGTTCATTCTGTTTGGGCGACCTTTGAAAATCTGTGTGTGTGAGTGTCAGTGTGTGCATCTGAGTGTGTATGTCTGTGTGCATCTTGTGTGTGTGTTTGTGTGACGTGTCTGTAAGCAACTGCCTCTCTCAAACCCAAACTGATTTGTATTGACTGAACTCGAGAAGTTTTTCTCTGAGTGTCTTTAATTGGATTGCATCAGACGACTGTGATGTTTATTCCTGGACTGAAAGATGAAGAACGATGCTGTCAGTAGATGAAGAGCGCACTGTAGCTCCACGCTGAGCTTTCTATCAACATTAGAAGAAGCAAACAGGACGGCTATAGTTCCTGTCATTCTGCACATATAGATCTGCGATGCTTTCATCTCATTAAAGCAGCACAGAGAGCCTTATTACTGGAACACAGCCTAGATGGAGAAGGAATGGATTTGACTGGTTTGCTCTTATAAACAGACAGCAGTCATTATAATAGCTGATCGTCAGTGTTTTAGCTGCAGTACCTCATAGTGTCCAGCAGGTGTCAGTGCGGAGCTCTTGTGCTTCTTCAGACCGTCAACATTGTTTTCGGTTTGTTTTTGTGATTGAAACTAAAGTGTTGTTCTAGCATCCTGTATACACCGTTCATCCTTCGATTTAAAACAGGCCTGCTTTTACTAAAACTCATAAATAAAGCAGCTAAAGTTAATCGCAATCCTCAAAATTAACATGAAGACACAACCTCATGTTCACGACGAACTCTGAATGTCTGTGCTTTCCCTCAACAGAGGCTGTTTCTCAATTCCAAGAACGCAGAGAACGGACTTGCGTTCTTGTAGGGACCGGTCTTGCCAGGTGTCCTCGGAAGAACGAACTCAGGAGACCTCGAGGGCAGAGAATGCGTCCTTTGAGAATTGAGATGCTGCGTTCTTCCTGATGGTCACATGACCTTCACGTGTTTTAAATGGAAATTATTTAAACATTACAGCACTCATACAACGATTTATTGTTTTTCCCCTCTTCAAAATATATACTTTGCATAAAAACATTAGAAATATACTCTGCACAATATAAATAAAACAGATTTTAATACGAATTTCAGCAAACAACTCTTAATGTGTTTATTCCTTTATTAAGATGTTCATGTTAATGTTTACTTTCACCGTTTCATTTAGGGAAACTCCTGAGGTAAATAAGTGATATTTCTAAACTTTAATAATAAATCTAAATAAAATGCAGCACTTCCCACCTCCAGTCGCAATGACTTCTGGGAGTTCCAGAGCGAGTTCGGTGCTCAAGTCTGCATCAGTGCGTCCT